ACTGTTAAGTTTCATAATTTAAAGATGAGAAATGAATAAGTTATGAATATAAGAAAGCATAAATGTAAAGATAAGTATATATGTGAAAGAAAATGCATGAAATGTTTAAGTTTAAATACTTAATCAAGTATAATGTGAAATATAGTTATTTTTCACATTTGAGTTATGACATGTTATGAAACATATTGATGTTTAAGAATATATGATTTATATAAGGTTAAGTAATTAACCTTAAGTAAAAAGAGAAGTTAAGTATAAACTTGAGTAAAAGCAAGTTTAATGAAATTTCTAGAAAATTGGGATAAGTTAATAATCCTAAAGAACTTATTGAATATACGAGCATAGTACTTAGTATATTTGTCTATATTTGATGTAACTTGCAGATACAGTACCAGTACAGCACTTATCATTTTTCAAATGCTTTCAAAGACAAAAGGTGGGGACCCTGAATGGGTATCACGTTGAGTACGATATTGATGTCATAGGGGATGAGGAGACCATCAGTTGTCTCAAAAGTTATATCCCGAAGTTAAGGTTTATTACGCTTGGGATGAGGAGGCATTAATTTGTCTCATAAGATTATATCCTAAGTTCTGGTGGAGGCGAAACGGGCCTTAGAAATATCCATCAGAGTGTGCACACGTACCCGATTAACCATCGGCAAGAGAAATGAAAGTTTAAGTTTAAGTTACCGATCAGATATCGGTTTATGATTATCCATATTCGTTACCCACCCCCATGAGTTTTAGTTTCAGGTAACAGGTTGAAGAGGAGGTGTGAGTGGAGCAGCGTTGGTGTGGATCGTGGATTCAGATGAAAACAAGCTTTGATACGGACATTTAAAACAGTCTGTATAATTAACCACGTTTTTAAGTATTTCCGCTATGCACATTGAGTATTGAATTTGCATTTTAATGAATTTTAGATACAAGTTTTTACCATTATGAGAAATATGATTATGGTATTTTAAAATGCAAGTTTAAAGGAAATCTGTTTTAATTATGTCTAAAGAAGTATTAGACAAAAGTTTAAAGATAAACGGATTTTCAACATGATGAGTTTGAGTAGCATTCCGAGTTAGTCGAAAAAGATTTCGAAAGAATTAAGTATATTCGAAGTAAAAGTTGCGAAAAATTTACTCTGATAAGCGGGGTGTTACATGAGATGCCTACAATTCTCTGTCATATGACCATAATCCTTATGAAAATGACAATACCTCTTTGATTTGGGCTAGGTCGGCCCCTCAAACCTCGACCTGGGCCACGTCACATCTTTGTCATCTATCTTCTTCTCAATAGCCACCAACACCTCTCCAATCTTCGCATTCAACAGCATAAAATTATGAAACCGCTTTCCCCTCGCAATAGGTCAATCCTTCCACCTATCTTCACGCCCTCGATCCATCCTGCCATGCCCTTCCCTTCTGGGCGATCCACTCCTCGGCGATCCCTTCCTGGGCGAATTTGCTTTCCCCTTCTTTGGCTTTGGGCGAGCCGGCTCCTCAAACTTAGCAAACTCTGCCTCCGTCTCCTCAAGGTTGATATACTTTTTGCACCTCTTCAGCACCTCTTCATACGTACGAGCAAGAGTCTTGGCTAATGATGTTCGACAAGGTCCTCGTTGTAAACTTCTTATTAACCCTCCTGCCTTCACCTCGTCCACAGCCGTTGGGATCTCCAAACAAGTTTGATTATATCGAGCAACATACTTACACAACGAATCATTTTCTCCCTGCCTCATCGTCATCAAGGTCAAGTACGTCTTCTCCTGAGCCACAACACTCACATATTGAGTTGTCAGTTTCTCCGCAAAGTCCTCGAAATCTGTGATCGATCAAGGGGGGAGCTGTTGGAACCAATCGAGCGCACCTCTCCTTAGGGTCGACAGAAATGCCCTGCAACTGACAGGATCAGTATAACCATGCAACACAACCATATTCTCAAATGTTTCTCACATGCCTCGATGGGTCAGAAGTCCCATCGAAAACCAAACTCGTATCCCTGAAATTCGCTTGTAATGGCGCAACTAGTCTATCTCCCGAAAACGGGTGTCCTCGAGCACGCCTCTCCGGTCGACCATCTATCTTAGCCTGCAATTATCTTACCTGCTCCGCAAGCCTCTCCATCTCCCGATCTCGTGGGGCTCTATCTCCTCCATAGCTAAACACGTCCTCCTCCATACTGTGACGTGTACCCGCCACCGTGGTCGGCACAGTGGCCACTCGAGAAAGGCTATGTGTAACCTGTTGGATCACTTGTGCAACCGCGTTCGCCACCATCTGTTGTATCTCCTATCTGGTCATCACCACCTGCTGACTGGGGCGCTGCTCCTCCACTCGCGGCGGTGCTGTTCCCTGCACCACCGCTCCTAACGGCTCGATCCCGGCCAAATCTGGCTATAACGGTGTCGGAATCGCCATTCCCTGCGTTGCACGAACCTCCTGAGCTCGGCTTGAGACCACTTCTACTTCTGTAAGCACCGGTGTGGCCCCTAAACCTTATGCAAAGGTTTGGAGAAGCCTGGAGGAGGGCCCTCTCCAAACGGCCTTGTCGTCGTCCATGCTTCATCGAACGACGCTTGTAAATGTAATCTGGGAATTCCGTCTGCCATAGCTACCAAGCTCAAGTAATCTTAGCACACCAGTTTTCGAATGAAAGTCCCACAGACGGCACCAAATGGTAATACAAAAGACTCTGACCGGCAAAAAATCGGCTCGCCTCCTTCCTCCTGGCTAGTAGAACGCTGTGTACCTACAAAGAACTCTCACACCAGAGGGGTTTTCCGGTGAAGAGTCTGCGATGCTTAAGTCAGTATGTGTTTTACTCAATTATCAAGAGTAAAAAATGGATAAGTCGTGTGTAATAAGAAAGGCCCACTCCTATATATATAGGAGTGAGATACCTGCCCTAGGAGCTGCCCAGATTTGGTGAGATGCTCGTCTGTACACACACAGTATGTGTGTGTCAGAGGTGGTTATCGCCACTATCACTCTTCACCAATGTATTCTCACCACGTGTCCTCTGCACATGGGGTAATTATTCCTTTGAATATTCCTTGGAAATTCCCTAAAAAGCCACGCGCTTTCTTGCGTATAGATCACGCTCCTGATTGCCTTCACTCGCGGGGTGGTCGATCTGATGATCTCTCCCCCGGTAGGTCGATCTTTGACCATATCTGCCACAATGTTCGACCACTTCCTTTCAGTCTGCTATTGCTCGACCAGCATGGAATTTTCGATATTAGACTTGTGCGACCGGCATAGTGAACCGGTTTACTCCTTCAGGTATATACTATCCCATATCAAGAGAATATGTACCGTTTCTATATAAAATAGACACTAATTAACTTATAAAAGAGGTATTTTATTCACTACAAAGGTGGTATCCTTAGTTCTAAACTAAAACAAATTCAAGATAATTTTTGGAATAAAATAAGTGAGGTTATTTTAATGCAGGTGGGAGGGAGTGGTCTCTAAGAAAATTATGCATTGGGTAGACCAAGGAATGAAGATGGGTGTATTCATGCAAGACTTTCAATGACTTCGGGATTTTGAGAATTTCGGTGTATTTAGCTTGAACTTTTTAGGAGGGTGTAATCGTTTGGGAATTTAGAGACATTTTGGAACTTTTGTGAGATTTGAGACCTTTTAAAATTTTAAGATTTAAGATTTAAGAGAAATCCTTGAAAATCTTAAGTTTAGAAGTACGATTTGAGGTGATTGCGTATAAGGTTTTGTTTATGACATCTCAACAAATCATAAAGGGTTTAATAAATATCAGTATCACATAAGTTAAGTACCTCATGATTTGTTGAGACTTTTTTGAAATCCAAAAATGAATATCTTATAATTTTTAAAAGTCTTAAAAATTACAAATTAAATACATCAGGATTCTTAAAGTCTTTGCAAATCTTTGAGAATCACAAATGAATCCACCTTTAATACTTTTATAAATCATGAGTATTCGTTTGAGATTTCATAATTTCAAACGACATTAAAAAATCATGAAATATTCAATTTATTTATCACTTGAATTTGTTTAAATATTGCAAGACTTAATGGGATATCATAAAGAGAAAACATATACGAAATCTTATAAAAAATTTCAAACATAAGACTTTTAAGAATTCATTTTAAATCTAAACATTTTATTAAAAAAAATTAAAAATACCAAACGAATACATCCTTCAAAATAAGTTTGCGGAGTGATCCCATTTTGGTCCTTAATTTATTTGTGGCTAAATTGCAATTTGGTCTTGTTAGATTATGAATGTACCAATTTAGATCCCACTGAAGTGACGTATATCAATTTAAGTCTTGTAATTTAAATTTTGATGCAATTAAGTCCTTTAACTATTAAAATTTAACGGTCAAAAGACTGAATAAAACAAAATTTTATATTACAAAATATAATTTGTTAACTAAAATTCATCGTAAATATATAAATTAAAATTTTTATACTTATATGACTGAAACAGAACTTTTTGCATTAAAATTTTAAATTATTTATATATCACTTTAATGAAATCTAAGGAGATGTTTGTTTATGAATTTTTTGCCCAAAAATTCTGCTTTTAAAAAAATGGCAATTTGCGTTTTTTTTCAAAGATATTTGCTTTTTCTCTATCTTTATTATTAAGTGGGACCAGGAAACGATAACTGAGATGATATAACACGTCCTTGGATGCTTTTGACCACTCTGTCTCAAAATTAAAAAAAAAACAAAAATTTATGTTCGCTGAGCTTCTTTCCACCATTAATGTCCATGCTTGTGTGTTTGCAGATATGTTTATTTGTTTATAATATCTTGTGCAAAAATTATATACATTCCTCAGTCATTCGTCTCAATTGTTTTTAAGATTATTGCTCTGCTTCATTTCAGTGTTTTTCTCCTACTCCTCACACTGCCGGGTACAATGCTCTGTATATATATTTGTATATTTTTCACTTTGATGTTACTCTGCAAATTTTGCACAAAAATTGGATGTTTTAGATTTTGGGTATGAACAATATTGGTTGTTCAAAAGACAAGAAGAGTGAGGCGAAATGGACTCCGGAAATGGAGGCTCAGTTCACACAATTGATACTGGAAGAAGTGCTGAATCAAAATTGCATCGACGGTAGCTTTACTACAGCTCAATGGAATGCCATTGCGAGCAAACTAAATGAACGATGTTCCCTCGTCCCACCTTATGAAGTGAAGCAACTTTATGGTAAGCAGGCTCGCTTGAAGACATATTTTGGCGTCGTTTCCATACAATGAAGACAAGTGCAACCGGTTTTGGTTGGTGCCCAATTCGAAACATGATCACGGGAGGTGACGAGGCTTGGCGCATATGGACTCAGGTAACAATATCTTGGACTCTTTTAATTGTCTGTAATGGGGATACTTTAAAGTAGCAGCTTCTTTTGTATATATTTTTTTTTTGGAATTATTTTGTAGTGTACTGCTATGTACTTAAGCTGTTATTTGGTACCAGCTTCTACCTTTAAGTGTACTGCTATGTAACTGTGTTTTGGTAGCAGTTTCTACCATAAGTGTACTGCTATGTAACTGTGTTTTGGTAGCAGCTTCTACTTTGAGTGTACTAATGCAACTGCCATTTTCGAACAATTATGGAACACATACAAAAAATTACTGAACTAAAACAAAATGCATCTTAATGAAGAGCGAGATATTGTTATCTAGCACAGCAAAAGTGGAGCATACCAGCTTTGCTTTCATGTCAACTGACCTAAAAAAGCCACACAAATTTTAAAAGGGAACAAACGCATCATCACATTTCTTGCGTGTTCATCTGAGTGCATCTTCTTTTTTTGTTGAAAAAAGTAGCTGTAGTTGCTATTTGGTAGCAGCTTCTTTTTTGGGTTTTTTATATATGCTTTTGTACCTCATATTTTGTTTTGTACATATGCTTTGTATATATGCTTTTGTACCTCATATTCTGTTTATGGATGTTACCTGCCCTTTTGTTATCCAAATCTGCACTTTGACTTGAAATTAGTAGTTCATATGGGGTAGTTGGTCATTTCATTCTATTACTGCATCTCTGTTAGGAGCCTCTCTTATTTCCATGTACACATGAAGACTAGCTACTGTAGACGTATTTTTTCTATTATGATTCATATACCAATGTTCATTACATTTTTCCTCAAAAAAGTGTTTAATGGAAACCTATATAATACTGCATGCAGAGACACCCAGAGGACGAATATTTGAAGAATAGAACATGTCCTCACTATTACGAACTTACCAACATTTTCATCGGGAAAACAGCTACTGGTAGTCTGGCAACAGCTTCTACTCATTCGTCACAGGGGAGAACACGGTTCAGGAGGAGTCCAGCTCCCATCCCGGAAAATGAAATGTTTTCTGAGAGTGGTGAAGGGTACACTCTGGACCGCAGCCGTTCAACTCGTCGTCATAGAGCTCCATCCCAGTCCAATGACACCGTCATGAATTCCATTGCTGAGACACGGATGGCTCTTCAGCAAGTTGCCAGCGTACAAACAACGATAGAAAGAGCGATTGTCGAGCTCGAAGCTTATACAGATTTTCTGGTCGATGTTGTCATGTGTGTGTAAAAAGTTTGAAGTCCCATTCAACCGCAGAATTTTCGTTTCCCTAAAAGTCGAAGCACATAGTAGAGCTTTAATTGAGTATTGGGTTGTAGAGAGCTCGCAGTAGTGACACTGCGTTTATTTTTGCTTGCTTGAGTTGTTTTAAAGACCATTGATGACTTGTTTGATTTTCACTACGCTTGTTTGTTGGTGTTTGTATGAAGATTGTGATTGATAATAGTTCTCATCTTCAACCATTTGGTTCATGTTAAACCTTATTCTTGGGCTATGCAATTTACTAATGTAGGATGTCTGATGAATGCAATCAATACCCCGACCATGTGGATTCTTCCGATCAAGCTGAGCATGATTTGGAAAACAGTGGTGATGAGAATATCGATGAGTGTGTGGAAACCGAAGACGATGTGGCCGATAGTGCGTATGACAATGAAGAAAAAGTACTTGTTTATGCGGCACAACTTGATTCACCATACGAACAACTTGCTACTTTACGAGCGTCCACGTCACAAAGAAGACCACGAATTAAGAGAAATTGAGTTGCATCCACCCCATTTACTGGAATGGATTGGATTAAATGAATTGTACATTGGCGCCGATAAAAGATTTTTTCATGTACTCGGGGTGGACAAGATGGTATACACATTGTTGTGCGAAGCAACAAGAAACAACAACAGCCACGGCCACGCCATACAAAAAATAAAATTACGCATGAAGAAAGCGTTGCTATTTTTCTGTTTACAATTAAGGGCCACCAAAGGCTACGACTTGCAGTTGAGAGATTCAGACTATCATTAGAGACGATCAGTAATCATGTTCACATGATGGTAGACGCTCTACGTATGCTTGCACCACATCCGATTTTAATCGGGTCCCTCCTTATATACGTAATAATCCCCGTGTCTTTTCATACTTTAAGGAATGTACCATTGGTCTCTCTTTTATAGTAACAAATTATGCGTAAATATATTATCAAGATTTTCAATAAATTTCAGGATTGCATCGGGGCAATAGACGGGACTCTAATACCAGATTGGGTTCCTCGACAGAGAAACAGGTCTTACAGATGCCGAAAAGGAATCCTAGCACAAAACATAATTGTAAGTTCTGAAGATTGGCAGTAAATCGACGAACCTTCTTGAGTTCCCAGGATTCAGACAATCGCAAGAATATATATATATATATATATATATATATATATATATATATAAGGGAAGATTGATTTATATTGCTTAAACGTGTTTGCTAATTAGAGTTGATTACTGATAATCCATAATTGTGATGGCAGGACTTTGGGAGTAAGCTCGGGATTCACTTTCCATAATTATGAAGGAGAGATCGGGGATCTTGGGAAACAAAATGTTTACCTTAAGTGCATCCTTACTTATAGAGAAAGCAAAAGATGGGACTTACCATACGTAGCCTGTATATAAAAGGAGGACGAGACACATGTTGAGGACGACTTTTTTTTGGAGATTTTTGATGATGTTATGTTTTTATTTTCTGTGTATTTGTGAGAAATTAAATAGAGTGTTCAGAGGTTTATTCTGTTATAGTTTGAGGGATTCAAACTAGAAAAGCCACAAGAGATTTGTGGTCGGATAAGTAGTAGTGCAAATCACTGTTCAAGTAGAGTGTAGAGGGTGTCTATACTGTAAACCCTTGAAGAGTGTGTGAGACGTTTGCATTAATAAAAGAGATCATAAGGGAGAGTTGGACGCTCTCCTGAAGGTTCAATTTTCAGTGAAACTGCTTCCGCAATTGTTTGAATCTTCATTTAATCCAGGTTGGTTAAATTGTAAGCAATTCTGGATACTTGGTTTACAAGTATCAAACTTCAGTAATGGTGGCGTGTGATTTTGAGTGCAATTTCACATTTGTTCTATCTGGTTGGGAAGGCAGTGCCAATAATGCGCGCATTTTCCAAGAAACATTACGAGATCCCACAATCGATTTCCCGTGGCCGCCCCCGAGTAATGATAATTATTTATTTATTTTTTTGGGGTAGGGCGTAAATTACGATTAATCTAAATTTTTTTAGATATGAATGTTTTTCTCAATAATCGATTAGGGAAATATTACTTGGTGGACTCTGGCTACATTAATTTACCGGGATTTCTGACACCTTACAAAGGCGAGAGGTACCATTTACCGGAGTGGGTTGGCTCAAATCGAACTACTACCAGCGCACGAGAGCTATTTAATAAACGACATTCGTCCCTCCGTACAATAGTTGAACATACAATTGGCATATTAAAAAATAAATTCCCCATTATTAAAGGTCTCATGCCAAGATACTCGGTCGACTGCCAGAAAAATATCGTGCTCGCATGTTGTGTTTTACATAACTTCATTCGTCGACATCAACAGTCTGATAACCTACCTTCGTCTTTGTACGACCTGGACTATATTCCACTACGTGATGAAGACAATGATAACCCACCTCCGTCTTTCCACAACCTCGACTCTATTCCCCAATGTGATATAGACGAGGAAACGAGTGGTTGGAACCCCTCTTTGAATGTTTCACAATTTGCTTATAGGGAACAGTGTGCATTGCGCGACTCAATTGCATCCGCTTTGTGGGCGGATCGAGGAAACAGACGCGCTTAGCTATTTTATTTTATTGTTGGATGTTTGACTGCCTTGTTATAACCTTATATGTATGGCAAGTTGAAATGTTGTTATTTGGAAAATGCGACAATGTTGTTTAATTAATAAACGGGGTCAATAATATAATGAACGAGTGTATTAAAATTAATCTAATTCACGTTAACATATTTCAATATATATATTGGTGTAAAGTAAGATTATACAATAAAAAATTTATGTAGTAAGAGTAGTAAGAATAGTAACTTGTAAATTAACTATTTTGTAAATAAATAATTTTTGAATTATTGTAGTTTCAAAATTATTTGAGAAAAAGTATTGTTTTTAATATTATGTACTTACAAAATTGTCTGGAAAAAAATTGTTATTTACTGAAAAAAAAATTCCAAACAACATTGGGTGTATGAATTTTTATTAAAACAACACAACAAAAAAAAATTGAAAGTTGGTCATTTCTTCTTTTATTATTTTTTTCTTTCTATTTTTGTTTCGTACAATTGAAAGTTGGTTAATCATAATAATAATAATATAATGTAACCAAATTACTGTTAATTTTTACTGTTATTTTTCTTTTTTTATTTTTGTTAACGTTTTCACCAGATAGTTTAGTTATAGTTTTGTTTTTAAATAATAATACTAAATATGTGCAACCAAATTGATTTACAGACTTCATTAACAATATTTATTTTATGGCATACTTTATGTAAAAATTTTCATGTTTACTATTGTTGAATTTTGAAATTGGCTAATTTCGAGTTTAAAGAAACGACAAAATATACGGTATGGTGTTGCATGACATTGTACACAATACAACATAAACCTCAATTGACATTACAAACACACCCAATGTTATTCATAAAACACATGAATTATGAAACTGCAAAATAATGCCACATCTGCCACACTTTAAAATATAGGTACACACCCAATGTTGAATTTCCTCTCCTTCTTCGAGCTGCCATACGTCGTTCTTCAGCCTGGCAGTCCAAAGTAGTTAGTCGAGTTTGCGAGAGTTACGTCGAGCTATCGCGAGGTCTTCGCCAGGATATGAGTAAAGCCGTAGGGGTTCGAAATTATTTTCAAGGTTTCCCAAAGAGGCTCAGGATTGTTACAGTAATGGTGTGCTAATGGCCAAAACTAAAAAAACCAAAAGAAGAATAAATATATATATACGAAGATTAATTCATAGATAATTTTTGTTTTTCAATAATCCGTACTTGAAAATTGAAATTAGAACAATTTTGTTCCAAAAAAACAACATAACATATTAAAAAAGAAAAAATTGTTTGCTAATTATATTTTGTTAGTAATAAAACTAATTCTTCTAAAAAAATTGACAATTTAGTCTGTACATACCTCAAATGTCCTCTCGATCGTCCTTGTCCAGATGGATGGTTTTTGCGTGTATATCGAAAACACCATTTACACATTCTAGAAAGAATTTAAATGTTCGATACATGTCTTTCAATACCATGAACGTGACGTAGCATTCTTTACAAGTCAAATTTGGATCGATTTCTGCCAAACAAGTATGGTAGATTTTCTCGAATGCCATGTCTACGTTAGCCTCGCTATTCATCCCTTCAGACTGGATGAAATAAAGAAGGATGGTACAAAATTTTTCTTTAGCTGCAGTACGCCATTTGTTTGAAAAACCCTTCTCGTATATATTGGAAATGTTCATCCTTTGTGTCTGGCAATGCAAAATCCCACATGATTGTAAATAAATATGACAATTTCTAAGTCATGGTGTTGTGACCTTTGAGGAAAAAAGAAGTTGGTATATATAGGCCAAACTTGAAGGTGATAATTGATTTACAGATGTATGAATTGGTCCTATTGAATTTTAAAAGAAAAAGAATTATTTAAAAAATTTTGTGTACAGAACTTGTTAGTATAAAAAAATTTGTACATGTTCTAAAAACTATGAAATACTACTCAACTAGTAACAATCGTAACAATTCTTTATTTGATTGTACTTTAAATTTGAACAAATAATTTATTTAATGTACACATGATAATTTACCTATAATTATTGATGTCTCGAAAAACAGTGCGATATAATAATTGCAATTGTTTCAAATATACCGTTGTTATATAGTCAGCTTTATAAACTAATTAGGAGGTGCAAATTATTCTGTGAGGTGTTTCTGGGCCAAAGTATTCATTTTTCTCGTTCTTTCTCTTTTATTATTTTTGTAAGACAATTCCTTCGTTATAATGATAGCAATTAATATATTGATATTCTTTATAGCTTGTTTTGTTATCGGTTTTGTATTATAAATATTACTGATTACTACAAATTATTCATTATTGTTTAAGTAAAATTGATTTCATACTAATTAAATAAACATAAATTACATAAACTATATACATAAATTGTACATGTAAAATGTCCACAAAAAGCCATATGCGGGAAAAGATATTTATTTCCACATCACTACATTACATTTTTATAAAGTTGATGAAAAGTGCTACAATAGTTAAAAAGCCAATTATGGCCAAAAAAACCACAAACACAAAATGGGAATGCAACTAGAAGGAGTGACGATCTGTCCATAATATTGTTTCTTTCCACATGTGACGTGCTGGAGTAGTTGGACCCACGAGATGTATGGCGACTACTATTCGCAGTGGATTCTGCATTACTGAAAGTTTGACCACTTTCCCGTGAGCAAGTTGTATGGTTATCCCCAAACAAAACTCCCTGGTGTTGCTTTCCTTCAGGACAACGATAGAAATACTTACCATAATTTCTTTCTATTTTAGCCATAAAACAATATATCCGACCACCACCGCAGGAACACATTGGGGGCTCATGAACCATGGCTATTTTGTGATGAATGTAAAATTGTTGTGAAAAAATTGTGGTGGAACACACCTATTTGTAGGTGAAATTTTTTTCCTGTGTCTACCATTTCCCTCTATATCATTTCATTTATCTCTATTTTTGGCGCGCATTATTGCTTGACCGGTAGCACCTGGATGATGCATGACCAAAACAATACAAAAATTAATGCAAAATGATTCTCTCACCTGACACAGGCATGGGTGATATGAAAAAAGANAAAAAAAAAGAAAAGAAAAGAAAAGCCACATGGTAGATGGGGAAAACGGAAATGGTGGTATGGGCGGGCGACTGAGAAAAGACACATGCATATTTGTGATTCACATGCATTTTCCATACGTGCATACAAGATCATTGACTAATATACATGCATTGTTCACATTGTAAATATATAATTTTTGAATTATTGCAGTTTCAAAATTATTTGGAAAAAAAAATATTCTTTTTTAATATTATTTACTTAAAAAATTGTTTGGAAAAAATTTTTTTATTTAGTGAAAAAAATATCTAAACAACATTGGGTGTATGAATTTTTATTAAAACAACACAATAAAAAAAAATTTAAAGTTAGTCATTTCTTCTTTTATTATTTTTGTTTCTTTCTATTTTTGTTTTGTACAATTGAAAGTTGGTTAATCATAATAATAATAATATAATGTAACCAAATTACTGTTAATTTTTACTGTTATTTTTCTTTTTTTTATTTTTGTTAACGTTTTCACCAGATAGTTTAGTTATAGTTTTTTTTTTAAATAATAACACTAACTATGTGCAACCAAATTGCTTTACGGACTTCATTAACAATATTTATTTTATGGCATACTTTATGTAAAAATTTTCATGTTTACTATTGTTGAATTTGAAATTGGCTAATTTTGAGTTTAAAGAAACGACAAAATATACGGTATGGTGTTGCATGACATTGTACACAATACAACATAAACCTCAATTGATATTACAAACACACCCAATGTTCATGAAACTGCAAAATAATGCAACATCTGCCACATTTTAAAATATAGGTACACACCCAATGTTCAATTTCCTCTCTTTCTTCGAGTTGTCATACGTCGTTCTTCAGCCTGGTAGTCCCGAAGTAATTGGTCGAGTTTGCGAGAGTTACGCTGAGCTCTCGCTAGGTCTTCGCCAGGATATGAGTAAAGCCGTAGGGTTCGAAATTATTTTCAAGTTTTCCCAAAGAGGCTCAGGATTGTTGCAGTAATGGTGTGCTAATGGCCAAAACTAAAAAAACGAAAAGAAGAATAAATATATATATACGAAGATTAANAAAAATTTAAATTAGAACAATTTTGTTCCAAAAAAAAAACAACATAACATATTAGAAGAAATTGTTGCTAATTATATTTTGTTAGTAATAAAACTAATTCTTCTAAAAAAAATTGACAATTTAGTCTATACATACCTCATATGCTTCCTCCCGATCGTCCTCGTCCAGATAGACGGTTTTTGCGTGTATGTCGAAAACACCATTTACACATTCTAGAAAGAATTAAAATGTACGATACCTGTCTTTCAACACCATGAACGTGACGTAGCATTCTTTAAAAGTCAAATTCGCATCGATATCAGCCAAACAAGTATGGTAGATTTTCTCAAATGCCATGTCTAAGCCAGCCTCGCTATTCATCCCTTCAGACTGGATGAAATGAAGAAGGATGGTACAAAATTTTTCTTCAGCTGCAGTACGCCATTTGTTTGAAAACCCTTCTTGTATAAATTGGAAATGTTCATCCTTTGTGTGTGGCAATGCAAAATCCCACATGATTGTAAGTAAATACGACAATTTGTAAGTCGTGGTGTAGTGACCTTTGAGGGAAAAAGAAGTTGGTATATATAGGCCAAACTTAAAGGTGATAATTGATTTACAGATGTATGAATTGGTCCTATTGAATTTTAAAAGAAAAAAATTATTTGAAAAAATTTGTGTACAGAACTTGTTAGTATAAAAAAATTTGTACATGTTCTAAAAACTATGAAATACTACTCAACTAGTAACAATCGTAACGATTTTTTATTTGATTGTACATTAAATTTGAACAGATAATTTATTTAATGTACACATGAAAATTTACCTATAATTATTGATGTCTCGAAAAACAGTGCGATACAATAATTGCAATTGTTTCAAATATACCGTTGTTATATAGTCAGCTTTATAAACTAATTAGGAGGTGCAAATTATTCTGTAAGGTGTTTTTGGGCCAAAGTATTCATTTTTCTCGTTTCCTTCATTACAATGATAGCAATTAATATATTTGGATTCTGTACAACTTGTTTTGTCATCGGTTTTGTATTATAAATATTACTGATTACTACAAATTGTTCATTATTGTTTAAGTAAAATTGATTTCATACTAATTAAATAAACATAAATTACATAAACTACATACATAAATTGTTCGTATAAAATGTCCACAAAAAGTCACATGCGGGAAAAGATATTTATTTCCACATCACTACATTACATTTTTATTAAGTTGATGAAAAGTGCTACAATAGTTTAAAAGCCAATTATGGCAAAAAAACCACAAACACAAATGGGCATGCAACTAGAAGGAGTGACGATCTGTCCATAATAGTGTTTCTTTCCACATATGACGTGCTGGAGTAGTTGGACCCACGAGTCGCATGGATACTACTATTCGTAGTGGATTCTGCATTACTTTAAGTTTGACCACTTTCCCGTGAGCAAGTTGTATGGTTATTCCAAACAAAACTCCCTGGGTGTTGCTTTCCTTCAAGACAACAATAGAAATACTTACCATAATTTCTTTCTGTTTTAGCCATAAAACGATACATCCTACCACCACCGCAGGAACACATCGGGGGCTCATGAACCATGGCTATTTTGTGATGAATGTAAAATTGTTATGAAAGAATTGTGGTGGAACACACCTATTTATAGGTGAAATTTTTTTTCCTGTGTCTACCATTTCCTTACATAGCATTTCATTTATCTCCATTTTTGGCGCGCACTATTGCTTGCCCAATAGCAATTGGATGATGCATGACCAAAACAAGACAAAAATTAATGCAAAATGATTCTCTCACCTGACACAGGCATGGGTGATATGAAAAAAGAGAAAAGCAACATGGTAGATGGGGAAAAGGGAAATGGTGGTATGGGCGGGCGACTGAGAAAAGACACATGTATATTTGTGATTCACATGCATTTTCCATACCTGCATACAAGATCATTGACTAATATGCATGCATTGTTCACATGCATGGTACCCACATGCACTTATTTGTGTGGTTATAGAGGAAAATAAGTAAAACAAATTAAAAAAATATTTGTTTTTTGTTATAAAACTAGAGAGAAAGAGAGAGAATAGAGAAAATGTATTCTCTTAGGTGTGTTTTTCATTATAACTGAAGCTCCTATTTATAGGAAACTCCTGATGGCACAATTTGTAATAATACAAATACATCGAGGGCAAAATAGTCATTCACATACATTATTTTATTATTTCATAACACTCCCCCTTGAATGACTATTTTCTAAACATATTTTAACTGATTTGAACAAAGCCCAATCTGCACATCTTCAAGTGTATCTTGTGGCCATCAGGTACCGTTGCTTCAGCACGTCAGGAAAACCCGGTAGGACAAAACCTGATCATCTTGAAATCATAACATTGTTTCTTCAGGAAAACCCAGTGGGACAAAACCTGAACATTGTGGAAGCATAACATAGCTCCCCCTCAAATAGATCATCTTTAGTGGAATATCCATGTGCTGCCTCGTTAAAACCTTGTCAAGAAAACCCAGTGGGAAAAAACTTGATCGAAGGAAAAAGAGTACAGCTACTCCAGTATCTCTTATCATCGTGAAGAATCATATCATTTATCCAGTAGTCCTCATCATACCATGAATATGCCTCGTTAAAACCTTATTAGGAAAAACCCAGTGGGACAAAATCCTAATGAAGGAAAAAGAGTACACTATTCATGTGAATACGCCATCCTTGTTTCCTCCTTAAAAACCTTGCTAGGAAAACCCAATGGGACAAAACCGCAGTCAAGGGAAAAAGAGTACAACGCGTATTCCATATATTCACCATAATATTTCCATAATTTGCATGAGTATCGTATAAATTCGTTCAGATTTCAGATACTGATGGTATGCCATATCATACTTTGTGCAAATTTTATTCTTAAACTCATTCTCATTATCAATTGATTTCAATGGTCTTACTGTCAATAGTTCCCAATATTCACATTTCAGCTGATTTCATCATCGTCAATATCATTTATATAGCGCTATTCATTTGTTTGTGTCGACACTTATTCATTTCCATTATTCCCCGTAATATATTGAGATATCTCACTATCAATTGATTTCGTCAATATATATGCCTCCTTTCATCACTTATTTGGGGAATTTCAATTTGCACAATACCAACGCCTCTGGCGTATTATTCCACCATAATATAATTTCATATATTTCTCCATCATCAGTATCATTCAGTTTGCACACTTTCAGTGTGATGCATATATCATTTCCAAATTTCAATTATTGATTTTCCCCCTCATCTGAACAGATCCCTGATCTGTATTTTTAGTATTGGATTTCTTGAGGGGAGTTCATATAGTGTCTATTTTGTTCTCGATTTCAACATATATTTGGAGGACTTTGAACTCATATCATTTGTAATGTGCACATTTTTCTTTCAATAGTTCATCATATCAGGTGAGTATATTACTAGCTTCATCACTTGTTTTCATTCTTTCATAATCATCTTGTGTCATTCTTTGATCAAACCATCTCGTAACTTCAGGTTACGTGTTATATACACATTTTTGATCAAATCATCTCGTAACTTCATGTTACGTGTCATATATTCATTATTTGATCAAATCTCGTAACTTCGAATCACACACATGTGGCTATCTAGTGGATCCATAATATCTAGTAGCACACATGGAGGGGTAGTGGGCCCATATATATCGTACCCCTTTCATACTCAGATTGATCATATATCGATTCACAAATATTTAGCTAGTAATATTTTTCACCAATCGGGAACAAGCATCTCATATCACAAAGAATAAGTTCATCATGCAAACATTTTTAAAGTGATCACAATAATTCGTTGTGACATGTTTATCACAAACATTTCACATCATCTTTCGGCGGCAATAAATGCACTTTAAGTGTAGGCTCTGGTATAATATCTTTTAACCACTGTTTAAATCCAGAATCGTATCATGCTGTCTGACACACATACTTTTGAACACTGTTTAAGTCCAGAGTCGTATCTCATACGCATCATATTTTTCTATAAATTATCAGGTAATTCATTCAATTTTCTTTAACAAAGGTCCGAATTTACAAATGGACTTAGCACTCTCAAATATCCGTAAATATTATTCTTTTCTTCCGAAAAATATCATAAAAAGGATTTATCGATCTCGATTAGAAAGATTGAGGATGCTAATGAATAATGGTATTCCAAATGATGTTAGATGGTTGATCGAAGCACAAGTTCGATTGTCTGGAGAGTTTCCAAATTCATATAAATATATGCCAGGTATGGGTACTTATGCAAAGAAACGAAGAGCAAAAAGGTTAGGTGGATGCTTCAAATGCGCTCGATGGACTTGTGACACACGATGTACATCTGTGGGGTTCGTGTCCAAAAATCGAGAAGATAAAATATCATTTATAAAGGATGGATTGAGTAAGGAGTCTTTGGATCAAACGATTCAACAGATTCTTGAGACACATCCTAGTGGATACGTGTATCGTGAGCTTATGTCTTTATGGATTCAGTTCAAAAATGAAGAAGAACGTTATAGTCTCGAAAATATTATTTCAAAAGATCAAGTTTGTAAAACTGGTCTTGTTAGTACGAAAAATCATACTAATACAGTTTAGTATGTTGTACTGTAATTTTCTAGAAAAACTTATAGTTGCCGACAGATAAGATTTATTTAAAAACCAACACCTTATCTGTCAGTTGCAATTGTCAGAAGAAAACAGTAAAATTATTTATTGCTTTGTAAAACTTTCTATTTAAATAGCGAGTCGTTCATCATAATCATATGCCTCACAAAGTTTTGAAAATTCAGTTTATCAATAAATAGATGGATGTTTCAGAGCCTTCGCAAGGTAATAATTTTCTTCAACCGATCAAAACCATATGTGTTCTTGGTGGTTCTAAACTGGTAAGTTTTTCTCAAACTATTGATATTGTAAGTCAGTTAGTCAAAGAGATGGGGAATCAAAAAATCAATTTGCTGTATGGAGGGACTAGCAATACTTTCTATGATAGTCTCTTAATGGCTGGACAATGTTTTGAGATAGAAGTGAAAAGTATCATACCTTTTCGTAGAGCTTCAACAAAGGTCGTCAAGGATTCCACAAGCATGATGTTAACTCATTCCATTCATGATTGTATGATGGATATGGTGAACAATAGCGATGCTTTTATCATTCTTCCAGGCGGGTATGGAACGCTAATGACAATGTTCACCATTGCTTTATGGGCAAAATTGAAACTTCATAACAAGCCCATAGGTCTATTGAACTTTAATAACTTCTTTCATGGTTTGCTTGGATTTTTAGACATAGGAGTATATCAAACCTTTATATCTCCTTCAGTGAGAGAAGTATTCAAATCTGCTGACACATCTGCTGAACTTATCAAAAAGCTTCAAGAATGCATCACACTTCAAGATTCTGTGGAAACACAAGGGGTCAAGCGAAAAAGAGCTTTTGATCCTTTAGATCTCTCATTATGAACCCAGATATCATTCATGGGTGGCAGAGTTACGGAGTTTTACACTCTCGAGACGCACCCTTCTTTTATGGGTTCTATTATGTAATCTTTGCGTATTTTGTATTCATCGAGTATTTACTGCCTCTTTTCCATATTTCCACCATCTGAACATTTTGTACTTGTTTCTCAGTAATAATAATATCAATTTCGCTTTTTCCTCAAGATACGTGTGTAGTACTTCATGACTACAATAATTATCATATGTGCTTCTTCTAGAGCACTTTATTGTAATATTTGTATGACCTCGAATCTCAATGAGATCTGATATAGTCCCTTAGACTCATTTAATATATTGAGAAATCATTTTATGTGATCACTCATAACTAGTAACTTTTGGTACCATTTTCTCATTTTGTTCAATCATCCAATGGTAGCTTCTAGTACCATTTCATTACTTTGTTTAATCATAACATAGTATCTTTAGTACCAATATACCAGATATCATTTAATCATTATGTACTAACTTCTGGTACTACTTCATCAATATTTGTTTCTCCATCAATAAATTTGGAGAATTTATCAACTGTTCCTTCAAGATCAGGTTAGTCCATATAATATTCGTTCACGACAAGGACTTTAATTAACTCTCACATGGCCAGATACAAAGTATCATTCATTTCACTCATCGGCTAATGCTTAATTTGTACTGCCCGTCGCCGGCGGCAGAGCCGCACTGGCTGGCGCATGTATATATAGCCATTCATATCATGCCCTTATCACCTCGCCATACCACATCACCGGTTACCGACCAATCCATTTAGCCGTTTAAATCTTTTACTATATTTTTCCGATGGCCGCACTGCTTGGCCATTTCATATGATCGTTCATACTTCTTTATAATGTTTCGATCAACAATTGAACTATCTGTTACCATTGAATATTGCCTGCCGGCGGCAGAGCCGTACTGGCCGGTCCTCGTAACCACACATACTAATTTTCATATCACAAGGGTCAATCTATAAATATCCACGATAGGAAAAAAATTCAAGTATTTCATAATCATATGATATAATAAACCATATCAATATTGGTATTAAATCGAAACTATGATTAAATAGAGTACTATTCATTTCATAAAAGCATATTTCAATAATTCTTGCCTTTTATATTTGACAAGACATGATCCTATAATTAAATGATCAGGTAAATATTTCATCAACTTTTATTTTGTGTGCATTTGATTTCCCAAATGATGGTACTTATGAGTATCATAAAAAAAAACAGACATACCTGTTGTGTTCCTTATGCTTTTTCATGGACAACCGCAACGCTTAATTGACCGCGAGCCGATGAATCCAGATCGATAATATTAAAGTAGTATTTTATACCCATACATGGGTGATGAGTGGTGGGTACCATTTTATCTATAAGAATGAATATTATAGCTTTTGTCCTTATAGTAAGTTATAAAAAAATCAACTTGACAATTGGCACAAGTGGTCACCACTTCCGTGTCTTAATTGCCCGTATTATTATTAATATTATTATTATTTTTATTTAAAATTCATTATCCTCCAATGTCTATCTATCTCACCCATTCACTTTCTCTTTCCTTTTTCTTCTGCGTGAATCAAGAACAAATCAACCCAAATATCCTTTCATCAATTTCATTCTCTTCTCACCATCCTCCTTTCTTTTTCATTTTTTTTTTCATCCTCTACAACACATTTGAGTAGGATTCCCATACGAATGATAATACTTACCTTCACAACTTCTCTTGTCTATTTGGCCATGACATACATTATGATACATTTTTCTCATTTTTTTTTTATTTATAAATTTCAGTCGGTAATACCTTTCTTCAGCCTTTATTGTGAATTTCATCATCCAATCTTCGACGATGCACGTCACCGACAGCTCTTTGGAGGCTTTGAGTCCTACCATCAGTTCACAGAGGGACTCGAGGACATATAATTTGGGATTCATTTTTGTCCTTTTTCTCTGGTTACACTCTATTTTGTTTTATCTCTATTTACTGTTTTGCTTGCTTTTTCTTTGGTATAGAGAGAAAAGAAAATTTGTAATATTTCGATTTCTGATACAGAGAATTGTCTATAAGACGCAACTGTAGAGCATACTCTCGTCATATTATAAATCGAGCTCTAAAGGGCAGAGACTCGTGCTGATAACGTGTTATAAAACTAGAGAGAAAGAGAGAGAATAGAGAAAATGTATTCTCTTAAGTGTGTTTTTCATTATAACTGAAGCTCCTATTTATAGGAAACTCCTGATGGCACAATTTGTAATAATACAAATACATCGAGGGCAAAATAGTCATTCACATACATTATTTTATTATTTCATAACATTTTTAAATTAATAAAATTTAAAGTGTTTTTTTATTGACCGACATTTTCTAATATTTACGGTAAGATCTCGATACAAATCGGTATAAGCTTGATTCCTATATTTTGTGTGTAATTGTACCGTATCAATGAGCGGTATCCGTTATAACCTGTATCACCCGTATTATTTAATTCAGATTCTTTTCAAAAGTAAACAAGCTTTTCTATATCCATGGCGGTATCCGATATAACCCGTGTTACCCGTATCTTATATAACCCGTAGCAATGGGAAAGTAATGTATTTATATATATTATTATTTGTAAATTAAAAGTTGAAATAATTTTCATTTTGATGGTAACTTATAAATCATTTTCACAATAAAAGTTAAAGTAATTTTAGTTTTAATTAGTAAGTTATTAGTTAATTAAAAGTTAATGTTTTTGCAAACAAATTACATGAATAAAATTTATAACACCTGCTGCGATGGAAAGAGCCTCATTCGTCCCTCCTTCTTCCTTTACATTGTCTGCCCAATTTGTTGTTGTTCTTTCTTGGGTGTCATCGGAATATTATGTAATGTAGCTTAAAATAAATTTATCGCTATGTAATTGCAACATCCAAGAAGAATTTTTTTCATTCGCAATGTACATGTTTGCTCACCGTTATGCATTATTGCGTTATGTCTTTTTTTAAGGACGTATAAGTTTTAAGTAAATTTTATTGCATAAATGTTTTCATGTAAAATTGTTACTCTTATTTATGTAATGATTTATACTTATTATTTTAAATATGTTTATTAATTACATTAGTAAAGAATGCCCACTACAGTAGCAGACAGGTGGCCGGATTACCGGGAACTTATTATAANAAAAAAAAAAAAAGAAGAAATAAACAACATTGGGCTCTTTAATAGTGGCAGACAGGCGGCTGGAAGGACATGGCAACATTTCTGACAAAGGACGCATGTCCCAGGCCCATTCGGTATTGGAAATTTTGGGGTGGATTTTTGGGGCAAAAAGTTTCATAAACAAACATCCATCTGCTTTTCAAAAAAATTGACGATTTGCGTTTTTTCCAAGATATCTGCTTTTTCTCTATCTTTATTATTAACTAGGACCAGGAAACAATAACTGAGATGATATAACACGTCCCTGGGTGCTTTTGACCGCTTTGTCTCAAAATTAAAAAATAAAAAAAAAAACAAAAATTCTATTCGCCCAGGTTCTTTCCACCATAAATTCTCAGACCTTCTTCCCCCAAAAAATGAACCCATCAGAACCACCTCTTCAATCGGCCGAGAAGGTCCCTGCTCCTGCCACTACCCCTCAGACGGAGCCGAGCAATGACAGAACGGAGAGCACCGGCAGTGTCTCGGTCACTTCGCCGGCGAAAAAAGAAGAACGGCCAAGACAGGTATCTCCTTCACAGATGTCAGTCGTTCGGTATTCTCCAGCAAAGCGAACTAATACCTTGTGTTTTAAGAGGGTTGACAAACTTTTTCTGAAATTTTCTTATGTATTCCACATATTTTGAAAAAGTTGAATTTGGGAATTAGGGTTTCTGCGAAATCCCCAACTTCCTTCTTTAGAGAAATTGTGTTAATGTTCATGCTTGTGTGTTTGCAGATATGTTTATTTGTTTAGAATATCTTGTGCAAAAATTATATACATTCCTCAGTCGTTCGTCTCAACTGTTTTTAAGACTATTGCTCCGTTTCATTTTAGTGTTTTTCTCTTACTCCTCACACCGCCGAGTACAATGCTCTGTGTATATATTTGTATATTTTTCACTTTAATGTTACTCTGCAAATTTTGCACAAAAATTGGATGTTGTAGGTTTTGGGTATGGACAATATTGGTTGTTCAAAAGGCAAGAAGAGTGAGGCGAAATGGACTCCAGAAACGGAGGCTCAGTTCATACAATTGATGCTGGAAGAAGTGCTGAATCAAAATTGCGTCGGCGGTAACTTTACTACAGCTCAATTAAATGCCATTGCGAGCAAACTAAATGAACGATGTTCCCCCGTCCCACCTTATGAAGTGAAGCTACTTCATGGTAAGCAGGCTCGCTTGAAGACATATTAGTGTCGTTTCCATACAATAAAGAAAAGTACAACCGGTTTTGGTTGGTGCCCAATTCGAAACATGATCACGGGAGGTGACGAGGCTTGGCGCATATGGACTCAGGTAACGATATCTTGGACCCTTTTAATTGTCTGTAATGGTATACTTTAAAGTAGTAGCTTCTTTTGTATATATATTTTTTTTGGAATTATTTGGTAGTGTACTGCTATGTACTTAAGCTGCTATTTGGTACCAGCTTCTACCTTTAAGTGTACTGCTATGTAACTGTGTTTTGGTAGTAGTTTCTACCTTAAGTGTACTACTATGTAACTGTGTTTTGGTAGCAGCTTCTACTGTGAGTGTACTTATGCAACTGCCATTTTCGAACAATTATGGAACACATACAAAAAATTACTGAACTAAAACAAAATGCATCTTAATGAAGAGCGAGATAATGTTATCTAGCACAGCAAAAGTGGAGCATACCAGCTTTGCTTTCATGTCAACTGACCTAAAAAAGCCACCCAAATTTTAAAGGGGAGCAAACGCATCATCACATTTCTTGCGTGTTCATCTGAGTTCATCTTCTTCTTTTTTGTTGAAAAAAGTAGCTGTAGCTGCTATTTGGTAGCAGCTTCGTTTTTGGGGTTTTTTATATATGGTTTTGTACCTCATATTCTGTTTATGGATGTTATCTGCCTCTTTGTCATCCAAATCTGCACTTTGACCTGAAATTAGTAGTTCATATAGGGCAGTTGGTCGTTTCATTCTCTTACTGCATCTCTGTTAGGAGCCTCTCTTATTTCCATGTACACATGAAGATTAGCTACTGTAGACGTATTTTTGCTATTATGATTCATATACCAATGTTCATTACATTTTTCCTCAAAAAAGTGTTTAATGGAAACCAATATAATACTGCATCCAGAGACACACAAAGGACGAATATTTGAAGAACAGAACATGTCCTCACTACGACGAACTTACCACCATTTTCATCGGGAAAACTGCTACTGGTAGTCTGGCAGCAGCTTCTACTCAACTGCCACAGGGGAGAACACGAGTCAGGAGGAGTCCAGCTCCCATCTCGAAAAATGAAATGTTTTCTGAGAGTGGTGAAGGGTACACTCCGGACTGCAGCCGTTTAACTCATCATCGTAGAGCTCCATCCCAGTCCAATGACACTGTCATAAATTCCATTGCTGAGACACGGATGGCTCTTCAGCAAGTTGCCAGCGCACAAACGACGACTGAAAGAGCGATTGCCGAGCTTGAAGCTTATACAGATTTGCCGGTCGATATTGTCATGCTTGTGTGTAAAAAGTTTGAAGTCCCTTTTAACCGCAGAATGTTCGTTTCTCTAAAAGTCGAAGCACATCGTAGATCTTTAATAGACCGTTGGGTTGCAGAGAGTTCGCAGTAGTGACACTGCGTTTATTTTTACTTGCTTGAGTTGTTTTAAAGACTATTGATGACTTGCTTGATTTTCACTACGCTTGTTTGTTGGTGTTTGTATGACGATTGTGATTGATAATATTTCTCATCTTCAACCATTTGGTTCATGTTAAACCTTATTCTTGGGCTATGCATTTTACTAATGTAGGATGTCTGACGTGGATGATGAATGCAATCAATACTCCGACCATGAGGATTCTTCCGAGCAAGCTGAGCATGATTTGGAAAACAGTGGTGATGACAATATCGATGACTGCGTGGGAACCGAAGATGATGTGGCCGATAGTGCGGATGACGATGAAGAAAAAGTACTTGTTTATGCGGCACAACTTGATTCACTATACGAACAACTTGCTACTTTACGAGCGTCCACGTCACAAAGAAGACCACGAATTAAGAGAAATCCAGTTGCATCCACCCCATTTACTGGAATGGATTGGATTAATGAATTGTACATGGATCCCGATAAAAGATTTTTTCATGTACTCGGGGTGAACAAGATGGTATACACATTGTTGTGCGAAGCAACAAGAAACAACAACAGCCACGGCCACGCAATACAAAAAAAAAATTACCCATAAAGAAAGCGTTGCTATTTCTCTGTTTACAATTAAGGGCCACCAAAGACTACGACTTGCAGCTGAGAGATTCAGACGATCACTGGAGACGATCAGTAATCATGTTCACATGATGGTAGACGCTCTATGTATGATTGCACCACAGTACATTCGGCCCTCCGATTTTAATCGGGTCCCTCCTTATATACGTAATAATCCCCGTGTCTATTCATACTTTAAGGTATGTACCATTGGTCTCTCTTTTATAGTAACAAATTATGCGTAAATATATTAACAAGCTTTTCAATAAATTTCAGGATTGCATCGGCGCAATAGACGGGACTCTAATACCAGATTGGGTTCCTCGACAGAGGAACGGGTCTTACAGATGCCGAAAAAGAATCCTAGCACAAAACGTAATGGTGGCGTGTGATTTCGAGTGCAATTTCACATTTGTTCTATCTGGTTGGGAAGACAGTGCCAATGATGCGTGCATTTTCCAAGAAACATTACGAGATCCCACAATCGATTTCCCGTGGCCGCCCCCGGGTAATGATAATTATTTATTTTATTTTTTGGGGTAGGGCGTAAATTACGATGAATCTAAAAATTTTTGGATATGAATGTTTTTCTCAATAATCGATTAGGGAAATATTACTTGGTGGACTCTGGCTACATTAATGTACCGGTATTCCTGACACCTTACAAAGGCGAGAGGTACCATTTACCAGAGTGGGTTGGCTCAAATCGAACTCCTACCAACGCACGAGAACTATTTAATAAACGACATTCGTCCCTCTGTACAGTAGTTGAACGTACAATTGGCATATTAAAAAATAAATTCCCCATTATTAGAGGTCCCATGCCAAGATACTCAGTCGACTGCCAGAAAAATATCGTGCTCGCATGTTGTGTTTTACATAACTTCATTCGTCGACATCAACAGTCTGATAACCTACCTTCATCTTTCTACGATCTGGACTATAATCCACCACGTGATGAAGACAATGATAACCTACCTCCGTCTTTGCACGACCTCGACTCTATTCCCCAATGTGTGATATAGACGAGGAAACGAGTGGTTGGAACCCCTCTTTGAATGTTTCACAATCTGCTTATAGGGAACAGTGTGCGTTGCGCGACTCAATTGCATCCGCTTTGTGGGCGGATAGTGGGAACAGACGCGCTTAGCTATTTTATATTATTGTTGGATGTTTGACTGTCTTGTTATAACCTTATATGTATGTCAAGTTGAAATGTTGTTATTTGGAAAATGCGACAATGTTGTTTAATTAATGAGTGGGGTCAATAATATAATGAACGAGTATATTACAATTAATCTAATTCACGTTAACATATTTCAATATATATATCGGTGTAAAGTAAGATTATATAATACAAAAATTATGTAGTAAGTCATGTAGTAAGAATAGTAACTTGTAAATTAACTATTTTGTAAGTAAATTAATTTTTGCATTATTGCAGTTTCAAAATTATTTGGGAAAAAATATTCTTTTTTTAATATTATTTACTTAAAAAATTGTCTAGAAAAAAAATTGTTATTTAGTGAAAAAAAATTCCAAACAACATTGGGTGTATGAATTTTTATTAAAACAACACAACAAAAAAAAATTGAAAGTTGGTCATTTCTTCTTTTATTATTTTTTTCTTTCTATTTTTGTTTCGTACAATTGAAAGTTGGTTAATCATAATAATAATAATATAATGTAACCAAATTACTGTTAATTTTTACTGTTATTTTTCTTTTTTTTTTTTTTTATTTTTGTTAACGTTTTCACCAGATAGTTTAGTTATAGTTTTTTTTTAAATAATAATACTAACTATGTGCAACCAAATTGATTTACAGACTTCATTAACAATATTTATTTTATGGCATACTTTATGTAAAATTTTCATGTTCACATTGTTGAATTTGAAATTGGCTAATTTTGAGTTTAAAGAAACGACAAAATATATGGTACGGTGTTGCATGACATTGTACACAATACAACATAAACCTCAGTCGACATTACAAACACACCCAATGTTATTCATAAAACACATGAATTATGAAACTGCGAAATAATGCAACATCTGCCCCATTTTAAAATATAGGTACACACCCAATGTTCAATTTCCTCTCTTTCTTCGAGCTGCCATACGTCGTTCTTCAGCCTGGTAGTCCCGAAGTAATTGATCGAGTTTGCGAGAGTTACGTCGAGCTCTAGCGAGGTCTTCGCCAAGATATGAGTAAAGCCGTAGGGGTTCAAAAATTATTTTCCAGGTTTCCCAAAGAGGCTTAGGATTGTTACAGTAATGGTGTGCTAATGGCCAAAACTAAAAAAACCAAAAGAAGAATAAATATATATATACGAAGATTAATTCATAGATAATTTTTGTTTTTCAAAAATCCATACTTGAAAATTGAAATTAGAACAATTTTGTTCCAAAGAAACAACATAACATATTAAAAAAAAATGTTGCTAATTATATTTTGTTAGTAATAAAACTAATTCTTCTAGAAAAAATTGACAATTTAGTCTGTACATACCTCAAATGCTTCCTCTCCATCGTCCTCGTCCAGATAGACGGTTTTTGCGTGGATGTCGAAAACACCATTTACACATTCTAGAAAGAATTTAAATGTCCAATACCCGTCTTTCAACACCATGAACGTGACGTAGCATTCTTTAAAAGTCAAATTCGGATCGATTTCTGCCAAACAAGTATGGTAGATTTTCTCAAATGCCATGTCTACGTCAGCATCGCTCTTCATCCCTTCAGACTGGATGAAATGAAGAAGGTTGGTACAAAATTTTTCTTCAGTTGCAGTACGCCATTTGTTTGAAAACCCTTCTCGGATAAATTGGAAATGTTCATCCTTTGTGTGTGGCAATGCAAAATCCCACATGATTGTAAGTAAATATGACAATTTCTAAGTCGTGGTGTAGTGACCTTTGAGGGAAAAAGAAGTTGGTATATATAGGCCAAACTTGAAGGTGATAATTGATTTACAAATGCATGAATTGGTCCTATTGAATTTTAAAAGAAAAAAATTATTTAAAAAAATTTGTGTACAGAACTTGTTAGTATGAAAAAATTTGTACATGTTCTAAAAACTATGAAATACTACTCGACTAGTAACAATCGTAACGATTCTTTATTTGATTGTTCTTTAAATTTGAACAAATAACTTATTTAATGTACGCATGATAATTTACCTATAATTATTGATGTCTCGAAAAACAGTGCGATACAATAATTGCAATTGTTTCAAATATACCGTTGTTATATAGTCAACTTTATAAACTAATTAGGAGGTGAAAATTATTATGTGAGGTGTTTTTGGGCCAAAGTATTCATTTTTCTCGTTTCCTTCATTATAATGATAGCAATTAATATATTTGTATTCTTTACAGCTTGTTTTATCATCGGTTTTGTATTATAAATATTACTGATTACTACAAATTGTTCATTATTGTTTAAGTAAAATTGATTTCATACTAATTAAATAAACATAAATTACATAAACTATATACATAAATTGTACGTGTAAAATGTCCACAAAAAGTCATATGCGGGAAAATATTTATTTCCACATCACTACATTACATTTTTATAAAGTTGAGGAAAAGTGCTACAATAGTTGAAAAGCCAATTATGGCAAAAAAAAACACAAACACAAAATGGGCATGCAACTAGAAGGAGTGGCGATCTGTCCATAATAGTGTTTCTTTCCACATATGACGTGCTGGAGTAGTTGGACCCACGAGTCGTATGGAGACTACTATTCGCAGTGGATTCTGCATTACTGAAAGTTTGACCACTTTCCCGTGAGCAATTTGTATGGTTATCCCAAACAAAACTCCCTGGGTGTTGCTTTCCTTCAAGACAACGATAGAAATACTTACCATAATTTCTTTCTGTTTTAGCCATAAAACGATACATCCGACCACCACCGCAGGAACACATCGGGGGCTCATGAACCATGGCTATTTTGTGATGAATGTAAAATTGTTTTGAAAAAATTGTGGTGGAACACACCTATTTATAGGTGAATTTTTTTTCCTGTGTATACCATTTCCCTCCGTAGCATTTCATTTATCTCCATTTTTGGCGCTCATTATTGCTTGCCCAGTAGCAGTTAGATGATGCATGACCAAAACAAGGAAAAAATTAATGCAAAATGATCTCACCTGACACATGCATGAGTGATATGAAAAAAGAGAAAAGCCACATGGTAGATGGGGAAAAGGGAAATGGTGGTATGGGCGGGCAACCGAGAAAAGACACATGCATATTTGTGATTCACATGCATTTTCCATACCTGCATACAAGATCATTGACTAATATGCATGCATTGTTCACATGCATGTTACCCACATGCATTTATTTGTGTGGTTGTAGAGGAAAATAAATAAAACAAAATATAAAATTTTTATTTTTAAATTAATAAAATTTAAAGTGTTTTTTTATTGACCGATATTTTTCAATATTTACGGTAAGATCTCGATACAAATCGGTATAACCTTAATTCCTATATTTTGTGTGTAATTGTACCGTATCAATGAGCGGTATCCGGTATAACCTGTATCACCCGTATCAAACAAGCTTTTCCATATCAATGGCGGTATCCGATATAACCCGTGTTACCCGTATCCTATATAACCCGTAGCAATGGGAAAGTAATGTATTTATATATATTATTATTTGTAAATTAAAAGTTGAAATAATTTTCATTTTGATGGTAACTTATAATTCATTTTTATTTCAATAAAAGTTAAAATAATTTTTGTTTTAATTAGTAAGTTATTAGTTAATTAAAAGTTAATGTTTTTGCAAACAAATTACATGAATAAAATTTATAACATTTGCTGCGATGGAAAGAGCCTCATTCGTCCCTCCTTCTTTCCTTTATATTGTCTGCCCAATTTGTTGTTGTTCTTTCTTGGGTGTCATCGGAATATTATGTAATGTAGCTCTAATTAAATTTATCGCTATGTAATTGCAACATCTAAGAAGAATTTTTTCATTCGCAATGTACCTGTTTGCTCATCGTTATGCATTATTGCGTTATGTCTTTTTTTAATGACGTATAAGTTTTAAGTAAATTTTATTGCATAAATGTTTTCATCTAAAATTGTTACTTTTATTTATGTAATAATTTATATTTATTATTTTAAATATGTTTATTAATTACATTAGTAAAAAATGCCCCTTATAGTAGCAGACAGGCGGCCGAATTACCGAAAACTTATTATAAAAAAAATAAAAATAAACAACATTGGGTAATAGTGGCAGACCGGCGACTGAAAGGACATGGCAACATTTCTGACAAAGGCCGACGACTGGAAGGACAGGGCAACATTTCTGACAAAGGCCGCATGTCCCAGGCCCATTCGGTATTGGAAATTTTGGACTGGATTTTTTGGGCAAAAAATTTCATAAACAAACATCCACTAAATTGCTATAATCTAATTGAACTAAATTTACAATTAACCCTTTATCCGTCGTACCACAACCCGAACCTATCTACTAATTTGCCGTAATGTGGGCTCCCGGCGCAATCTAGCACTCGTCGGAATATTGTGTGACCAATTCTGTTCATCCCAACACTTGGAACCCCAATCATCCAATCACCACAGCCGCTTGTTCGGATCTCAAATTCAACACCATTTCTCTATGGCGATGAGAAAAGACGTTGCCGCCATGGAAATCGACGAACAGAATTCGACCGCTTCCGATCAGATCAATAACCCCAAGTTCTCCGTCAATGGTACTTAATCTGTGAATAATCTTACTTGTGTTCTGCATGGAGAATAATTTTCTCAATTTTCGCAGTGTTGCAGCTCCTGAAATCGGCTCAAATGCAGCATGGGTTGCGATTCGGTGATTATACTCGTTACCGGTACAATTCATTTCTTCTTACTGTGTGTTCCTGTTAGAGTGATGGATTTATGTACACGTCTAAGAGGTTGTCGTAGAGCTCTTTTAAATGTATTTTCGATTTTTTTTTTTCTTAGGTGAGGGTGAATTTAGTTCTGAAAGATGCTAAGAAATTTTATTTTATGAGCCTCTTGTGTTTGGCCTTGTAACTTTGTTAAGATTATGATTTTTATGATGATGTGATAATGACATTGGCATTTTTCACATTGAATCTATAGGAGGTATTGCAGTGCACGGCTGAGAAGACTTTACAAGTCGTTGAAGTTCACACATGGCCGTGGAAAATATACAAAGAGAGCTGTCACTGGATCAACAGTGACTGAAGTCAGGTAGCATTTTCTTGTTTATATCAGTGTATTTGATGAACTATCAATACTGTTACTTTTTTTTCTTCTTTTTTGGTTGTTGTAATTTCCTGTTGTAAGGATGTCTCATTTACATCTTTTCATATTCGTAATTTGAGTTGACATCTCCCATCTGTGGGATTAAATCATTTTTCTCACAAGTGTATTGTTTTCTAAAATGCAGTCATCATCTTTTGGTTCATCATTTATGAATTATGTATTTGATTGCGTGATTTTGATTATTCCTTTCCCATATAAAATTTAATGTACGCAAAGTTGTTGTCTCCTTATGTAATTTGGTTCAGTTAGCTACATGAGAGCATTTGTGCAATTCTAATACTTGGTTTTTTCAATTGATAGGCTGCCAATCCCTGCTGATGGTAGTAGTTATTGTCTTTTATGTTACGTCTTATATTGGTAACAGGAAAGTTTAATTTTCATCTTCCAAATTCGAGTTTCTCTGCTTAACTGTCAATTGTTATGCTTAGCATTTGTTAATAGTGACTGATATATTATAAGCTAAGGATATCCCAACTCTTCATCTCCTGAAGAAGGTTGACTGATACAATCTTCAAACAAAGTTGCTTTTGTACAATTCCATTTCCTGGCATGATATGATACTGATGTGTTAGCTGAAGATATCGGAACTCTTCATCTCCCAAAGAAAGTGGATTTAGATAATCTTCACCTTACATCGCTTTTATTTAAAAAATATATATATTTCTTAGTAATGGAATGACATGTTATACACAGTCTGCTAGATCTTTGCTTGGCCCAGAGGCCATGTTCAATTGCCTGGTTGTCTCCTATGCCGATAGGCGACTATTACGTACGATGCTGTCTTCTTGGCTTTATTGATAATTTGACTTTTTCAGTGTGCTATTGTTACTTGCATTTATTACAGATATTATTTTCTAATTCTAATGGCGTTATTAATATGTCTCTTCCTATTGACACCAGTACACAAATTCTGGCCCACTAAATGAGTGAAACTAATTTGTTAGTTTCACCATCGATGTCTGGAAATTAAAGAATCCATTGTCCATTCCTTGTTTTCTGTTTTCTGCCAAATGCTTCCAACTAGCGAGAAGGATAAATGGCTGTTGACTCGAGTACTTTTCGATACTTTTTATAATTTGAATGTGAAAGTTTTATTTTTTGCATAAGTAACTTCGAATCCTGGTTAGGTTTCTCCATTTGGTTTTATATACTGCTGAAAGAGCATGGAGTCATGCTATGGAAAAGAAAACACTACCAGATGGCCCAAATGCACGCCAGAGGAGCTACCTCATTGGAAAGCTAAGGAAGGCAGTCAAATGGGCTTCCATTTTTCAAGAGTTGTGTGCCATCAAGGGTGATTCAAGAACATCTCTGGAAGCAGAGGTATTTATAACAGTTTTTTCATTGGCTGTTGGACCTGCAACTTGATGCTTTTTATCTTCAGTTAGAACAAATTGTTGTATAAATCATTTTTTTATGTATCTTGCTTGTGTGGTGGTGTGAGATTATTTTGTTATGGGTTTGGTAGTTCCTTTGATTTGTGATATTATAGAAGTTTTAGTGCATTTGTCTTGAAAAACACAAGCAGAGAGCAATATTTCTCTTTTGACTTCGAATCTGGAGCTCGCGGGATTATAGAGCTGATGTGACTTCATTTTCATGAAGTGTTTTAAATTGTTGACTACATGATATCATTCTCATGAAGTGTTTTAGTTTTTTATTAAGTATTTGCTATGCATTAATTTAAATAACTTGCAGTCTTATGGTAAACACTGCTTTATTTAATAAGTTTAAATCAGACGGTACAATTCCAAATCTATTTTGCCACCTTCATGACGTCTTAGTGATATATTTGCGACTACGCTTATGATACTCCGGGTCATGCCTTTTAGACTGTTAATATTACACTTTCCAATCTTCGTGAAATCTATTTTTATGAGGCTTGATATTTTACAACAGTTGGGTGACCTTTGCTTGTTGATTACCATTTTTTCTTGCAATCTTGTTTAAGATTTCTTCTAAGTTAAGTTACGATCTGTTTATGATTTTTTTCATTTCCGGATTAATTTAAGCTACAACTTCAGGTCATCATGTTGGTTGCTTTAATACTTTGCAAACAATTGGTTTCCTTATAACATCTTTCAGTGTCTAATTGACAGGCTTATGCATCCTATATGAAAGGAAATTTGCTATTTGAACAAGATCAGCACTGGGATGTTGCATTGAAGTGTTTCAAAAGTGCCAGGTATAATCTCATTTTAAATTAGTATCTGTGCTAGGATCAAATAAATTTTTTCTTACTAAGAATGGAGCATATACGTATTGAAAACCGTTTACTTATTTTGTTTTCTCAATTGCTTTGCACTTTCTAGGTTATTTCCGATAGGCTATCCTGGATCTTATGCTTATCTGTGTCGGTGTGTATTTGACTCTATTCTTTTGACAGGACTGTTTATGAGGAACTGGGGAAGTATGGTGAATTAGAGAACCAAGTTTTGTGCCGAGAGCGGGTAGAGGAACTTGAGCCTAGTATTAGATATTGCTTGCATAAAATTGGGGAGTCAAATTTACAGACTTCTGAACTGGTCCATATCGGAGAAATGGAAGGCCCTGCCTTGGATCTTTTTAAAGCTAAACTGGAGGTACGTCTATCTTATCATAGAGTTAGTAATACATGTGTAGCCTGATAATACTTCGTCAATAAGAAGTATCTTGGCACTATGTATCTTGCCAGAGATGGCTTTTAGTGATCATAATGTTTTTGGCTTCTCTTAAATTGCAGGCTGTTATGGCCGAGGCTCGATCACAGCAGGCTGCATCTATGACTGAATTCCTTTGGCTTGGTCATAGATTTCCTGTCTCAAATGCAAAGACTCGGGTTTCCATACTTAAAGGTTAGTTTCTGTAAATGCTCGTTATCATGGTCCAAACACTGGGATATCACGTGTTTCCCTGACTTGCTACTTATTTCTCTCTCTCTCTCTCTCTCTCTCTCTCTCTATCTATCTGTGTGTGTGTGTGTGTGTGCATTGGGATAGTGGGGGAAGGTTTGGAGCAAAGCCAACCCAGACAGTTCCAATATTTAGTCTTACGTACTGGTACTAGCTAATGCATGGGAATGCTTTCATGGAATCATCGCACATATCCCTAGATGTCTTCATATAGCTTTTACTCCAGATTTGCAATGTCAGATCTTAAAATCCACATCTATTAAGACTCAAGGAATCTCTCTGGAATCTGTTATGGCATCTATGTTATATGAATCAACTGGGTCGACTGTATAATTTATGACTATGAATTACATTTTCTTTGCACTCTGAGAAGGTTGGTTCATATTTGTTTCCTTGAAATCACATAAGAACGTATTGTGACTTTCTTCTCTGTATTTATTGTGTTTACTGAATGATTATTTAAAACGACATATGCATGTAGCTTTGTCTATGTTGGATATTCATCCACCTATAGTAAGTTTCCAATTCCAAGCTCCCTTTGCCTGTCTGATTAGTTTTTCAGTTGATTTAGAACTTCAAATACTTTTATTTTACCTTATGTGTTGCATTTCTCTCATATTTGTTATTGGCCCATTCGCCTTTGCCTGTCTGTGCATGTAAGTATATTTAATTCCATCTGCAAATCATTCAATAACCACAACCATATTTTGCTACATTTTTTACTTGGAAAACTGAATGCAACATATTGAAATTTGATCACTCAATATCCACCATTAAATTTGTAATTTTTTTGTTCTTTCTTTCTTTCATTAGTTATTTTCTCTTTATTTTTGTCTTAAACTTGATGCATGTGGGTACTTGACCCGGTGCCTGGTGGAGATTGTTCTTTACTCTTTTCTCAAGAAAAGTTGTCTTTTTGGTTTGGTGGAGATTGTTCTTTACTCTTTTCTCAAGAAAAGTTGTCTTTTTGGTTATACATCATTTTATTTTTTAAACTATCTTTTCACTATCTTACATATCCCAATGGGAAATGTACATTTTTTTGTCTTATGTTATATGATATAAAGAATTCATTGGTATCCAATTGTACCATTGCGTTTCCCTTGTTATTCAAAACTTGAGATTCAATATAATGTACGGTTGTAAGTATAATTTTAATCGGCTCCTAATATGATGCTTTAGTTGTTTGAAATGTGTACTCTGTACCCTAGAAAAAACACCATTTCTTTATTGGTGAATGGAATTGCAATTTCTCGAGAATTTCTTGTCAGATTAATAGCTAAATGGTAGAATGGGATGTGAAAAGTAGTCCTTTTTTGTAAGGGAATAAGTCAATAAAAGGTATCTGCAAGGGCAATTGGTGGGTTTTCTGTTTGTTTTTTCTTACCACTTATTGAAAACATAAATCTGATCATTCAATTAGACCTCCGGTGAAATGAAACATAAATTGATTATATTGAATTATGAGTGGGAAGTTCGTGCATGTAGTCAACACATTTTGTGGGCTTATTGTCACAATGTTCGCTGAGGGAAATCCTAGTGTCAACTTCTTTCGCAGATGAATTTGTTTTCTTTTCTTTTGTTGAATTCTTTTACTGCTTCATAATTTTTGAAGTTTGTTCACCCAGTCTGAAGCTCTTTTGATGCATGAAAAAAATTGTTCAGCTCAGGAGTTGGAGAAAGATGTTAATGGTTCAGCAGCTGAGTCTGTTCCTGCTGAGAAGAAGCTGGTCATATTTGACAAAATATTCGCTGCGTATAATGAAGCCAGGAGCTACATACGACATGACTTGGTATGGGTTAAATGTAATAAAATAAATTATTTGTTTATCCTATGTTGCAGTTATAGGTTTTTATGTCTCAGTGTAATAAGTAATCATTGAGCTTGGGGATGCAGATGCATACCTTTTATCTGTGTTTGACTCTAAGTCTGGTACATTGTTATACAGGCTACTTCAGGTAATTCGGAAAGCATGAAAGACGACTTGAGTGGCCTTGACAAAGCTATAGGGGCTGTTTTAGGAAAAAGAACTATTGAGCGCAATCAGTTGTTAGTGAGCATGGCAAAAAGTAAGCTCAGTAAGGATCGTGATGATAAAAATGAGAAAGTCACAAAGCCTGAAGAGCTTGTCCGGTTGTATGATCTCCTGCTACAGGTCAGCTGACATTTAAGTTGATTTTCTTGAAGCACTTACAGGATTGAGTATGTTCCACTGTCTAAACATATTGACGCAGGTGAAATAACATTTGCTCTTTTCATCCAGAATACTTCTGATCTTACTGATCTGGTTAGCTCAGGAAGAGATAGAAAAACAGAAGAAGTGACATTTGCTGAGGAATGTGAGCTCAAAAGTTTTTCTTTCCGTGCGGAAAGGTTTGCCTTTTCATTATGTCCCACATATCTCACTTGTATAGGTAAAAAAAAAAAAATTAGGGCCAATTTTTTGAGATAGTGCCGCTTAACACCACTTCTCAGTTCTCACCATTATCCATTAAAAACTGAAAAAGAGCACGTGTGTAGTGTAGGCTACTCATCAAGGTAACATTTATCGACTCCAATAGGTATATTGACTACATATTTATTTATTTATTTATTTTGGTAGCATATTGATCATATTTTATTGTATTATTTATTTGGTATGGGTTTCTTACTTTGTTTTCTCTATGTTTTCTCATATGCACTAATAATCTAGCATCTTCTGATTCTATCTTGTGGCATGCCAATAAACTCTTCCTCTTTTAATTATATTAATTGAGCTGTGCATGACGCTCAAAGATAACAACTTTGTTTGATTTTTTCTTTCAATTATGGTGGTGGGCGTAGGACTGAAGAGATGATGAGTATCTATATTAAATTGCCGCAGGTGTTTTTACTTGGCCAAATCTTATAGTTTGGCTGGAAAGAGAGCAGAGGCATATGTTTTATTCTGCCGAGCTCGCTCTCTCATTGATTCTGCTCTCAAAAAGCTTCAGAGTGTGAGCAATGCTGATCAGGTGTGCAATGGCAGTCGCTTTAGGATATCTGTCTCTCTCTCTCTCTCTCTCTCCCTCTCTCTCCCTCTGTGTGTGTGTGTGTGTGTGTAACCAAATGATGCCTGTTTTAGGAAATGCTACCTTCTAGAATATGGTTTATGATGGGAGGATGATTTGCAGTTCACAAATCTATAAATAGTTTTCTCCTATACTTGCCATAAGTTTTTCCAAATTTTTTCTTTTCTTGTAATCGGTTTATATATTTTGGTCAAATTGTTAGCTTATTACCTTTGGGAAGAAATCATCTTTGGACCTCCTGAATATCTCTTGCAGGTTGCTATCAAGGATTTGAAGATGCTTTATAGTGATTGTCGGTCTAGCATTTGCATAGAGCATGCAACTGGGGTTATGGAAGAGGAAAAAGCTCCTGAAAATCTTTCAAAGAAGATTTCAGGCATATCATTAACAGATAAGAAGGTACACGTGGCTTTCTTACCTTGGGTCAAGCAAGAAACCTTTGGATTGTTCATTGTTGTGTGACATTATATATTCCTTCTATTATCTTTTATCCTTTCTTGTTTACCATTATTTTTTGTGTTATTTTTTGGATTAACCAGTTTAAGTACATCAACCACCAAGTACGACTCATAAATCAAAATATAGAGAAACAACTATTGCATTTGCATATACCACTATTCTAAAAGTAGGCAAGAGTACTGTTTTTCTTTCACTAGTGCTGACTAGTGCGATCAACTGATCATTATGCCCCTACTTTGAGCAGAACCTAATTGAATATATCATGAGAAAAAACATCTAACTATTGAATCTCCCAAATTCTTGTAGATACAGATTTTGACTGGCCGGATAATTTTTTTGGGGTTGGAACTATGATTGGATACAAATTTTTAACTCAAAATCCAACTGAAAGTTAATCCAACTTAACTCTCAATATAATCAATGTAATTAAATAATATCACTCACTCACTCACACAATTTGCAACAAAATTCACTATTCATCAACTCACATATTTTTAACTACAATCATTTTCAGTAACATTTTTCCTACTTTTACACCACATCAACTTTATTCATTACATTTTAACTCATATTCATAAACAAACTCAAAATCTAACCCAAATCTCCACTCAATCAACTTTTTTCAAAGTTAAGTCACTTTATCGAATAAATCAAATCAAAGCAAAAAAAAAAATTATTTCCAATCACCCCTAAATAACTAACAATGTCTTCATAAAAGTGCTTCAATATTCCTCGACCAAGGAAATCAAGTTTGCTTTTCTGCTTTTTATACTGTTGTGTTGTATTGTGTTGTGTTGAAGATGAATTCATACTCCATTAATATAATAAACTAGACTCATTTCATTGTTTAAGCATCGGTTTTACATATTTCATCTATCTTGGCTTCAGTTTGAGAAGCTGCTAATGGAGAAATTGGACGAATACGAATCGGCTGTTGGGGACCCCACCACAAAGCTAACTCCTCATATAGAAGCCTTCCCGCCTTCCTTCCAAGCAGTGCCCCGTAATCCTATTGTTCTCGACCTCGCCTACAACTCGATTGAGTTCCCGTCTCTTGATCATAGGATGAAGAAGGAAGCCAAGGGATTTATAAGCAGGCTTTGGAGATGAATTTCCATCCATCCATTGTCTGTAAAGGTGATATCGACTATAGATCGGGACCTAAATTACCATTGTAACTTATTGTCTCGGGAACTTTTTTGTTTCGACTTGGATAGAACTTTAACTGTGGAAGTACAAAAAATTTTGGGCCTTTGACTGTAAAAACTACACAAGTGTTGGAGATTTTCTGCAAATGAGGGCAAGATTTTTCATTCATGGAGATTTTTTTCACTCCAAAAAACTCATATCCAATTCTTATTTTATTATTTCTATGAATTATGATTATAATATTTAACTAGTACTAATGGAAATAATGATAAATCATATAAATTAAAACATGAATATTGATCAGTATAAAAATAGTTTGAATATTAATATTAATTTTTATTTTTTTTATTTGTTTTTATGAAATATAATTAATATATATTTTATATGTTTATTTCACACATTATAAAATAGTTGTTAATTTTGAATTCCTGTTTAGAATTAAGGAACGTAAAAGTTAATGTATTTAAATATTGCCAATAAATTATATTCACAAATATACTTATCTCTCTTTCTTTGTTACATTATATTATTTTCATTTCTAAATAAATGATGGTTAAGTTGAAAAATGTGATAAATATTAAACCAGACTTGATTTAAAAAGATGTAGTCTATATTATTTTAAAGTCCCACTCCTATGGATTTACTTAGTAACCGGATGGTCATTTTTTTGTATAGAGATGAAAACATGGTGGTATTTCTTGTATTATACGTAGACGACATTCTGCCCCCTTAAAACGGTGTAAAGCTACTGTCAGACGTAAGTGTATGGTTATCCAAGTAGTTAGGCATGAAGGACTTGGAAAAAATGATACATATTCTTGAGATCAAAATCATTTATCCCAAATTTCATGCTGAGATACTGTCATAAGGCTAAATTTGAAGTAAAACTTCAAGAAAGTTTACCTTTCCGGCATGGAGTTTCTCTATCAATGGAATAGATAACATAAAGGTAGTTTCTTATGTTTTGGCAATAGAAAACCTAATGTGTGCGATGCAATGAATGATGTCGGATATCTACGATTAGTAGATATCAAAGTAACCTGGTGCATTCGTTCATGGTAAAATATATAGTCAAGTGTCGTAAATAAGGATAACATGTTGGCTTGGCGAATCATATGAAACCTATGGGTTATAAGAATCTTGATATACTATCAAACATGAACAATAATAACTCTACTTCGCGTTATGTATTTACTTTGTTAGGTGGAGACACTAAATCTGGAAGAGTGTCAAACAAATTTGTCTGACGGATCAATGCATCACAACCTTTAAGGCAGTAAAAGGAACAATTTGGCTCTAAATCTCTCTATTGAAAGTTGATCACAATTTTATTGTGATGACATTTTGTGTAGTTGCAAACTTGAAGGAACCACAAGTCCATAAGGCAAGTAAAAATATGGAGCACAAGTACTGCCCAGTACGAAAATTTGTAAGAAGAGTAGAAATTGTTGTTTCTTAGATTGTATCAGTGTGCAACGTAGCAAATTCTTTTGCAAAGGGGCATTGTGGCGAAAGCCTTTTGGTAGCCATGTTTGCAGAACTAGGGGTCAGATGTATGTCAGTTAAGACGATAAGGTTTTAGTATTAGTGGGAGGTGAACTTCATATACTATAAATTTGCAAAGGGGCATTGTGGCAAAAGCCCTTTGGTAGCCATATTTTCGGATTGGGAGTCAGATGTATGTTAGTTAAGGCAGCAAGGATTTTAGTATTAGTGGGAGTTGAAATTTATATACTCTAAAACCAAACACTAAAACCTTTGATTTAGTTAAACTAATTTCTAATTTTGATTGAGAATCGAGATTAGTCAAAAGTGTTTACATTTATACATTCGAATATGGTAATGTAAACTTGTCATGTTATTGACAATAAAGATAATATAATGTGACGTCGTCACACAGAAGATTATTATTGGTTCTTTGTACAACATAAATAAGGTTCGTAACCTAGATAGAAATGGTCAAACCCGTCGGTACAATTATAGTATAATTTGAGTTAGTTTATCTTGACTAATAAATTATAATAGTGCACTTTTTATGTATTGAACAAGAACACGAAGAAGTTTGTGATACTAATCTATTAAATAAATGACCTCATGATATCATTTGTACTCTAAACTGGGATGATAATAACAGACACGTGTGTTTAATAATAAATTTTTTAACTCATCAAAAGGTGAGACTTATTCGTTAAGTCAACAGCTCAATGAGTTGAAAAAATATTATTATTTACATAGTGTGTTGTTGATTATATTCAGCTATTGTGTCCTGATGTGCCAGAGTGATGATGTCTTCGAAATGAGCTAAAAAATATTATATTGTTAAACTCTGCAAATGGATTAAGTTCTGAATTAATAATGAGGCTGAATAGTACTAGTTTGAGAAAATCAAGATGAACAAGCTTACGATCTCTTAAACATGGGGAGATAAATCAATTATAGTGGAGCCAAATTGTAATTTGGGATTAAGTAGAAAATTCAATAATACTTTTTTAGAGGAATGGAATGTTATTCATATGTATTGGGTGTGGCTGGATCATAACCTAAGGTACCTTATCCTATAGGGAGTCCTTACTTAACACCCCTCAAGGTCCATGTTGTAACATATAAACACATCAAACAGTCTCATTAATTCACAAGTTTTTTCTAGGGGTGGGATTTTAAATCCGAGAACCGAAAAACCGAACCGAACCAAAATGAACCGGTTCAGTTTGATTATTTGCTAAAAAAATGCAATTTTATCGGTTCGGTTCTACATGCTATAAATCGGTTCCCGGTTTTCGGTTATTGAATAGAGTTATTACACTTAACCAAGGAACCGGAAAGTTGCATACATTATACATATATATATATATATATATATATATATATATATTAAGTAGGCGCCTGGCCCAATTTATTATTGATGAATGATGGTTGAAACCCACTAACACTAACACAAAGTCCAATTACCACTTGCCCAACCCAAACTTATTATTAATTATTAATTATTAATTATTTTCAATTCCGATTTTTTATTTTTCTGTCATTACTCATTAATTTAATTCATTCTCATTTCTCACTTCTCACTCTCTCTCTTCGAAGTTCGACCGATAGAAAACAGAGAAAAGAGAAACCCTAATCTGAATTCCTATTTCCCAATTTCTATTCGACCATCCACAAATCTTCAATCTTGAGCGATTTTTCTTACCTTCTATGGCTTCTTCGTCCGATAAAACCAATCTCAAAAACCAGACAAACATCAAGATGAAAATGAAAAAGAGGGCAAAAAAAATTACCGAGGCCCAATTCAAAGGCAAAGAAAAAGAAGGGACGTAAGCAAACCGAGACAAAAAAGAAATCATGGGTGTGGAAGCATTTTTCGGTGGTGCAGAACCCACTGATGAGTAGAAATGAGGAGGGGATAATGGTCCAAGATGGATTAACCAACCGAGCTCAATGCAGGTATTGTGAATATGACTTGGCTTGTAATTCAACTAGAAATGGAACCAGTACACTTCAAAAGCATTTAGAACTGCATTGTGATAGTTATCCGGGTAGTGCAAGAAATCTTGGTTCTAGTAAAAAAATATTTTTCAAGAGATGTAGATGGTAATGAATCGATTGTCACACACTGGACCCAAGAAAATTGCACTAAGGCAGCTGTTAAAATGATAATTATTGATGAATTGTCATTTAGTGCTATTGAGAAATCTGGGTTTAAAAGATTTTGTTCAGTTGTGCCAAAATGGAAGATTCCTTGTAGAAAAATGGTGGTAAAACATTTGTTGAGCATGTATAACACCAAAAGAGAGTGTTTGAAAGATGACCTTAGGAATCATTGTGTTAGTTTGACCACTGATACATGGACCCCGATTCAAAACATAAATTACATGGTCATTACAGCACATTTCATTGATAGCAATTGGCATATGCACAAGAGGGTGTTGAACTTCTGTGTGATTCCTAATCATCAAAGAATTACTATAGGGAAGATTTTAGAAAAATGTTTGCAGGATTGGTCTATCAAGAAGATTTTAACAATTTCTATTGATAATTCATCTGCAAATAAAGTGGCAATAGATTACATAAGAAGGAACTAGGGAATGGTGAAAATTGATTTTAGGAGGAAAGTTTCTTCATATGAGGTGCTTAGCTCATGTTGTCAATCTTATTGTCAAATCTGGACTTAAATGCATGGATAAGTCAATTGCTTCAATTAGAAATGCTGTAAAATATGTTAGGAGCTCACCTGCAAGGTTGGAAGCCTATAAAGAATGTGTAAAAAAAGAAGAACTTCAGAGTAGAAAGGTGTGTGTTTTGGATGTCCCAACTAGGTGGAATTCCACTTTTATTATGCTTGAAACTGCTGTTGAACTTAGACAAGCATTTGATAGATTATCTGAAGAAGAGGACACTAAGTATACATGTTATTTTGATGAGGATGATGAGGAAAATGAGGAAGAAGGAGAATATGTTCTAGGGGTTGAGTTTGGGAATGAACCTGATGAAGTTGAACCTGTAGGCCAAGGGACTGAAATTATTAGAAGGAAGAAAGATAAGGGAGGGAGAGGGCCTCCAATAGATGATGATTGGGAGAAAGCTATTGCATTTGTCAAGTTTTTTAGAGTGTTTTTTGATGTCACTGTAAATGTTAGTGCTTCAAGCAAACCTACTGGTCACAAAGCATTCCATGATATTGTTTCAATTAAATGTGAGATTGAAGAGATTTTTGATGCACCAACCACAAACCACAACACAGATTATGAGAAAACATTGTTCAACATGTCAGTCCAAATGAGGAGCAAGTACAACAAGTACTTTGATTCACTAGCGGATGTAAATCAGCTCCTGGTTGTTGCTTTGGTGTTAGACCCTAGGTTCAAGCTAAGGTATTTTACTAAGGTTCTTGAGAGGATGCTGAATTATGATGCCTTTACTATAAAGGTAGAGACAGAAAGGTTGAAAGAGTTGATTGTTACTCTTACTGACTTGTATGTTTCAATGAATGATGTACAAAATTCTTGCACAAAAAAGGCAGATGGTGTTGAAACTGGGACTGAGAGTGGAAGCAGGTAATAACTACTCATTGTAACTTTTACTTTCCTCTTTTTATTTCATAGTTAATTAGTTCCTTCATGATTTCATCATGTTTTTGCCTTTCTGGTTTCATTTACTTGTATTGTTTTATATTGTAGTTGTTCTTCAAAGAAGCTGACAGGG